ACTACAAACTGGACAACAAAAAAGAATTAAAAGACAAAAGGTCAGGAAATGCCCAAGACCAGCTTCTCCAAAACTTTTCACTTCTTATCCCGAATTTCTTGTTTTCTTCTAGAATCACTTCTCTCCCCTGACTTGTCTCAAGTCCTGACACTCCTGGAGCTCCTCATGGCTTACAGAGAACTCCAGGCAGCCTGTTCCTCATCCTCTGACATCAACCACTTGACTCTAACACATTTTTGCATTTTTCCTCCCAGTTAAGGGCTCTAATTCCCACTGGCCCAGAGTAAATATTACATTTGGCTGCAGAAGAGACAGATGGGTTTGAAGGGATGCAAAGAGGTGAGGAACGAGGCACGGATGCAAAAGGGAATTTTCCCAGCTTTTCATCCCTTCCCTCTTAGGATAAACCCCAACTCCAGCATCCCAAGGGAATGGGACACTCAAACCTTCCATGTGCTGCACTGAGCCTCCTTTTGGGGAGTCAGAGGAGGAGGAGAAGGCAAAACCTCTCCCTTCCTCAAGAACCTGAGTGAAGAACACTCCGGAGCAGAACAGCACGGACAGGAGACAAACCCCACCTACAATCACCCCCACACATGGAGTTCAAACACATGGGGGGGTCAGCTCAATAATTTCAATGCAAATCACCAGACTATGGAAGAACTCACATGGTGACATCCCAGCAGAGCAGTGACACACACACTGATCCACCTGCACAGCCGGACACGAGAACCAGGAACCCGGATTTGTCAGAAGTTCAAACAGGAGAACCTGATTATTTAAGCACAGGGGGTTTCTGCACTGCTCTCACTCTGGCAGGTAGTTGATAATGTTAATTGGGAATAATTGAAGATATTGGGTTTAAAGGTGTTTTTTTATCAGGTATTAGAACACGATGCCTTTCCATCCAGCACACTTTGCATTCCTTCACCTGGTTTATTCAGATCTGTAAAAGCAAAAAATCTGAAATATTTGTTTTAAAAGGCAGGATTTTATACATTTATATTTAATGAGTACAATGTCCAGTAAACTGGATTTTGTGCTAAGTACCTGCAGAACTCCCCTTTCACAAGGGGTTACAAAGAACAGAATTTACAGTCTCCAACCTGCAGTTCAACTGATCTCCTTTCCAGGGGAGCAGGTGGGGTTTTGTGCTCATTTCCCTCTGTTCAGCCCACTCCAAATGTCTAAAGAGGAGAAAGTTCTCCAGAATGACTCAATCAAATCAAATCCCTACTAATTGTATTGACAAATGCCAGGTGTTTTAACACCACCTATTTTTTAACAGCACAAATCCTCCTTTAAATCATTCCCCTGAAGGGGGGTTCAGCAATGCTCTGTTATTACCTCATGGCTTATTCTAGTCTCAGATTATACTGGATATTTAAAAGCAAAAGTAAAGAATTTTATGCAGAAAAACACCACTCAGAGCATATGCAAAAGCTGCTTTCAGAGCAGGCCCAGAATTAGCTCCTCAGATATTTTTCCAAGTTTGACAGTTGAGCCTTCTTGCCACATTAGAAAAATAATGTTCTTATGTAGTAGTGAACACATGTTTATTTAATGGCATCTGCCCAGAGGGATGAGAGATTTGCTGGGAGCACTCACAGAACTGTTTCTCTCAAACCAAATCACGTTTGAAATATCTGGGTTAAAACTGATCTGGAATGGGTTGATTTTTGCCTTTGAAAGAATTCAAAACCAAGGGGTTTTTTTTATATATATATATATACACATAGCTGAATTTACTATGCAGGAAAATACCCACATCTGAAAAAGAGGGAGAGGAAATCAAATAAAACTATTTTTAAACATTATAACATTTATAAACACTAAATACGGTTTCAAAGAAAATCCTGGGATGTTTCATTCCGTCTTTCCCCACAAAACCACATTGTCTGTCCTGATCTGTGTCTTTAAGCTGCAGCCACAAGGAAACAGAGACTAATCCCTCAAATAAAACCAGCCTTGCTTGGGGTTTACCTTGAATTTGTGGGAGGGTTTTGTGTGGGTTTGGTTTGGGGGTTTTTCCTTTGGTTGGGTTTTGTTTTAATAAAGCAGTGGGATATTTACTACTATAGGAAACAATCAAAATGCAGAAAACAAAGCTTTTTGTACAAGGCTTGCTCCACTTGAAAGATTAAAAAAAAAAATAAATTATAGGAAGCAATGGGTAAGGCTCCAAAAATAAATAAAAATGAAAAAGCCTGTGTTTGATTCCTCCTCGTTGCGAAGGGGTGACTTTGGCTGAGTAACTCAGTATTTGTGCTTCGGCACCATCACCCAGAAGGACCAAACAGAGGGGATCCATTCCTCTCAAAAACACACAAAAGAATCCCCCAGCCCCTCCCATCCCCAACTAACACACACATGTGAGGGACTGCAGGCACCAAAAATGGCAGGGGAGCATCCCAAAAATTAGGAACTGGAGGGATTTTGTTGTTAAAAGCAGGTTCAGGTTTGACTGAGACACGTGCCAGGAGCAGCTCAGGAGACCTGTGGGGAGGGACAGCTCTGCACAAAACATCAACAATTACTTCAGCCTTAGGGTGGAAAATTCAAATAAACCTTAAAAAAGAAATTGGAATATTTAGGTCTCCTTCTCTTTCTAAGGTTGGTTTCTTTTAATCTCCTTACATCAGAGAAAGGAAAATAGTTATGAAAACACCCTAAAACATGAAGTGTCATGGGGTAAAGTGTCATCCAAGCCATGGGTACTGAGGGCATGGGCTGGGACACCCTGGCCAGGCTGGGCTCAGGGCTTAAGGCAGGGCTCAGAGCAGGGCTCAAGGCAGAGCTCAAGGCAGGGCTGAGGGCTCAGGACAGGGCTCAGGGCAGGGCTCAAGGCTCAGGACAGGGCTCAGGGCAGGGCTCAAGGCAGGGCTGAGGGCTCAAGGCAGGGCTCAAGACAGGGCTCAGAGCTCAGGGCAGGGCTCAAGGCAGCTCAAGGCAGGGCTGAGTGCTCAGGACAGGGCTCGAGGCAGGGCTGAGTGCCCAGGACAGGGCTCAAGGCTCAAGGCAGAGCTCAAGGCAGGGCTGAGTGCTAAGGCCAGGGCTCAAGGCAGGGCTCAAGGCTCAGGGCAGGGCTGAGTGCCCAGGACAGGGCTCAGGGCAGGGCTGAGTGCCCAGGACAGGGCTCAGGGCAGGGCTGAGTGCCCAGGACAAGGCTCAAGGCTCAAGGCAGAGCTCAAGGCAGGGCTGAGTTCTGAGTTCAGGGCTGAGTTCTAAGGCCAGGGCTCAGGACACCTCCTCAGCACACAGCTCTCCATCCTCAGTGCCGATCCCAGGCTGTGCCCAAAGGAGGCCACGCAGATGGGTCCCGGGTGTCACATACAACAGACAGGACCCCGCTGACACTCAGGCCCTGCTGTACTGCCAGGACCTCCCAGAACCCCACCTGACACACAGGTCACCATTCCCACCCGAGCTCTGGGAGCACAGACAGGTGACTCAGCACAACACAGGTCCCGAGACACAGTCTGGAAACCACAGCAAAGAGCTGTGTCTGAACTTTGGAGAAGGCCCTGAGTCTGTCCTGACCTCAGTGCTGCTCCTCTGAGCCCTCAGGGTGCTCCTGTGTCCCCCCCTCAGTGGCACCCCCAGAGCACAGCCTGAGTGTGGATTCCATCCTCACAGGTCACGTTTGCTCCCTGCTCCCACAGCCTGACCCCTCTCAGGGTCACTCCCTCCTCCCCCTGTGTCCCTTCCCTTCTGCCATTCCCACTTTTCCCCCAGTCTGTTTGTCAGGCACCTCCTGGGACCTGCAGCCACCAGCAGTGAGGGGGACGGGGCAGGAGGCAAAGGGAAGGAATTCCCCCTCTCCATTCAGATGGAAATCCAGATGATCCCGAAAGCACAGCTGGGAGCATCTCCTTCCAGAGGCAAGAGCACCCAAGACTTCCAACCCCACTCAGAAGGGGAAATAACCTCCTGGAAGTAGCAAATGAACTGCAGGATTAATGACTGTGTAACCAGAATTCCTGCAGAATCCTTGACTGCACATCAGGGTTCACATGCTGTAACCAACTGATCCCTGCCCCGAACCTCTGAACAAGCCACACACGGAACCCTCACAGCAATTCCAAATAAATGCTGTGTTTCCGTGGCGCCCAAAGGGCTTCAAAACAACTCCCTGAATACCTAAAATATTGTAATTCTGCTTCAGTGGCAGAAAGCTGCAGCACATAAATAACTGCTCTGCAGAGCATCCAGGCAGGCCTAAAAAGGACATTCTGTGTTATGACATTTTTAGTGCTTTGTAAGAACAAACTTTGTGTTTCTGCTGTTACGAGGAGGACAAAATAAACCAGGAGCCAGCTCCCCCCTGGGCTGTTTGCTCTGCTTCCTCCTGGGAACACGGCCCTGGACTGGTCCAGGAACATCCACTTTGGAACAATCCTTTGTCCGTTTATCAGTATCAGGGTGGAGATTTGGGGGTTTCTGTCAACTTTGCATTATTTCCTATCTCTTTACTGCAAAGATCATAATAAATTTATTATGGGACCAAAGACCCACCCTGTGTTTCAGCTGGATATCCAGAGCTGAGATGTTTGTCATCCAGGAATTAATCTTTCCGAGCTTTTCAGGGATGAAAGAGAGAAACAATAAGCCACACAATAAATGGGATTTAATTCCCTTCCCCTCTCATCTTCCATTACTCAGAGAACACTCAGGATGAGAAAGTCTATTTGACAAGAAGTATCAACATATTAAACACACACAAAAGCCATCCATCCTCCAAGTGCTTCCTGCAGGAGCAGCCACTAACTGTGATTAATTTACACTAATTTGGAGCCTAAAGAAAGAAGACACCGATAAAATAATGTTTCTCCTGCTATTAAAAACACGGAGGAAAATACACAGGAGGCAGAGAGAGGTTCTGTGCCAACCAAAAGCAAATTTGCAAAGCCTGAACTCTGGGTTTTCTCATTCTCCTGTTGCTCCTGAGGGTTGCCCAGTCACTGCCGGGGATGTCTGACCAACGTACCCACATCCCACACCTTGGATCCACCTCTCTGATGGTGCTTTTTGTTTTCTGACCCTTGAGAGAACAGTAACTGCCTGAAAGGAAGGAGCACGTGAAAACTGCACATTTATGAAAACGATGAAAAGCTACGGAATTATGAAAGTTCTGAAAATTGCACATTTTGTATTTTATTTTTTTGCCTGCACACAACTTGGGAGGTCGTGCTTCGTTCTTGCAGCTGTTCAAATTTTCCTCTTGTAATGAGGAGGAAAAAAAAAAAAAAAAGACCTTCAACGTTTTATTAGGTTAGTGTTTGTGTCGCTTCTTATGGATGTCTCATTTTCTGAAAAACAAACCATAATTTCTAATTATTTATTCTGCACAGCTCTTCCATCCCAGAGGCCAGCCTGAGTTTGGTGTTAGAGATCACTCACACCCTCCCCACAGCCCAAGGCTCCGAGGAGCTGGCAGCCATTAGCTGCTGCAGATTCTCCTTCCTGGAGAGCAAAAGTAAATGTTTTTAGTTAATTGTGGCTTCCTCGCAGTTTGCTGCAGGAAAAATTGCTTTATTAGGAAGCTCTGAAGTCGTGACACTGCACCACCACACCAGTGGCATCCCTGTCAGCCCGGAATCAGCTCCCGAATTCCAGATAAACCCAGTTCCTGAGCTCCACAGGGACTCACACGTGTCTTATCCTTCCACCTAGACAATGAATTTCATTCTTCCATTATTTTTCATTATCACATTGATTTTGGTGGTTGTCAGGCAACAGTTCCATCCACAGTGACACCAAAATCTGCTCAGCACACTCAGGTGCCACCGAACAGTGATAAACCAGTTTCAGGCGCTGTTTAAACCGGAGCAAGAAAATAAAAGGCTCCAGTTTTACATCTTTACCCTCTCCCTAGTGCCACAACTCAAAGCTATTATTTACACAGGCACATGCTGTTCAAATTAGTTTAAATTTATAGATTATCCATTTATTAAGTTGAGGGTTTGCCATTGTATTTACTTTGTGTTTTCTGCTCTTTATTTCAACTCATTAAATTCTTTACAGCCGTTCACTGGAATCCAAAGGCACTCCCCGAGGTCAGATAATAAGTGCAACAAGTGTCTCCAGCTATAGGAGAAACATTCCCTATGGATCTCATCTAAAGAGATGGGAAAGGAGATAAATCAGCAACCAGGAAATCTCGTGCCACGGAGTAAATCCAGAATTCCTGTGACACTGAGGCAACGTTGCTCCAATTTAAGTGCCTGCCTTTTCCTTGGGTTCCAAAAGCCAGCACACTTCATTTCACTCACATCAGAGCAACAGTGAAAAACTGCTTCCAGGAAACGAGGCTGGCAAAGAAAACTGAACCGGGGGGGAAGAGGAGTGGCCTGAGCCCTCTGTGAACCCCACGTGTGCCCTCCGTGTTCTGTGACCCTGGAATGGAAACTCCACTCCAAACACTGCTCACTGTGCCACTGGGACTGGGAGTTTTGGAAGACAACACACTGACAAAAGACTTGTACTTTTTTTTGTCTTTTTTTTTTTTTTTAAATTAGCATCCAACAATTCTGAAGATTTCAGGACTGTCTGTGGCTCCCCCCAAAGTGAATCTTTCCCCTTTCCTAATTACAAAGCAGCCTCATTTTCTCCATGAAGCCCAATGCACCGTGTCTATATAAAGTATAATGATCTTTGAACCTTTCTTCTAATAAACAATTTATATGCATGTTATTCTTATTTTCCAACACACAGTCCCTCAACCAGCTTTAGGGTGAGATGAAACACTTGAGCACAGCCCTCCTGTGTGGGAGTTCCCACCAGAGCCAACTCGCAACAAAATCCAACATCTCCTTAGTTATAAATCTGCTGCTTTACCCAACAAACCACTCCAGCTTCCCCCAAGGCACAGAGGGATACACAAGTAACCATGGATTTAACAAAGGCTTTCCTGAGCTGTTTTATCTATTTATCACAGCAACAGGGATCCAAACTGGAGTCTGGCTTTATGGGCATGATTTCCCCCCAGGATCCAGCCCTGGCACAGCACCTGCAGGAGGTTTTATTCGCAGAAGAGGGGACTCCAAATCCTTCTGTGTTGATAAAACTGGATCTACGGCTGCCCCAAACATAAATATGGTTTTATTTAATCTTGCCTTCACTTAAACTCGGGGGCTGCATTAGGTAAGCTCAGCCCCACTCCTTGCCTTCATTTCTCTTCAAGGAGGAATTAATTACTCCTTCATTTCAGTAACTTCTCCTCACACAGGTGTGTGCCAAGAAATCCTGCTGGAGATACCAAACCATTTTTCCTTCCATGCTCAATAACCTGCCTGAAAACAAGGAACAACAAGTTCTGGCCCAGAGAAACTGGTGAAAATATTGCTCAACACGACAAAGGCAGGACTGGATTTTGTGTCTTAAAAGGATTCTACACTTGTGCTCTCACAACTGAATGCAGATATGACAGGATGAACTGGCCTTTAAAGATAAGACAGGTTAAATCCCATTTCTGCCTAATTAGCAACTTCCCCCAGAGCAGCCTTTGGTTTCAGAGCACAAAATCCCACGGTGGACCTTTCTGTGATGATAGTTCAGAGGAAATATTTTCCTCCAAGAGGAAGCAGATAACATGCTAAAAGAAAAATACCTTGATTATATCTCACCAATTATTCCCTCCCTCTTACCAGCTTCCTCTCATTTTCTAAAATACCATTTCTAGGTGGGGAGTGAACTGGCACCCAGGATCTCCCACAAACTCCCCCCACTGCCAACACAGCTCGTTAAGAATAAGGTCCCCTCGAAGGATCTTTGTTATAAGTTCCATTAGAAGTTATGGAACATCCTGAGGCTGAGATTCCAGAGCAGAGGAGGTTTTCCTGCAGCAGGGAGCTGAGGCAGCCACAGCATCCCTCCTCCTGGAGGGACAGATCCAGCCCATGCCAGGCGGGTGCCCAGGTCACACCCCGGAGACAGATCAGCTCTGGCATTTACAGCCAAGAGGTTTGGCAGTGCCCCCGTCTTTAATTTTCATTTATTTTCTACAACCTGGCACAAAAACCTCTTTTTATTCAATTGACATCACCCTGAGCCCTGACTGCTGTGCTGCAGGAAACTGGGATTCGGAATTCCAGCAGAAAGCAACTGTGGAACAACATTTTAAAAGAGAAGAAAACAAGTGTGAAAGCACAGAGGGATGGCAAAGGCTGTGTCGGTCCTTTCAGGCTGTATTATGGAGTGCTGGCAATATATTTATGTCTATATTTTTGGGGATATAAAAAGGGGTCAGATCACAATGCACCACCACCAGTGAATGTTCCTACAGCTTTAAATAGCAAACTGGATGTTTCAGTTCAGGGAGCTTTAATTTCTGTAAGACTGAAACACTACAGGACAAATGTTTCTGCCTCAGAAAAGGAGGTGAGATCAAAGGAGCAATTCCACAGCGTGGCACAGGAGGCACCTGGGAGGGAAATTCTGTTCCTAATATTGATTTGCTCCTCCTGTCCCATCTCTGGACACCACCCTTGTGTTAAAGCAGAGCACAGGCAGCTTCTTCCCACAGCTGTTCCGGGCCACACAATTCCTCAAGTGAGGAGCTGGCCTCCAAAAATTCTTCCAGCAAAGGAATCACGGAAAAATTTAGACTGAAAACCTCCTGAGGCCAATCCCTGCAACCAGATCACAAGTTGGGTAATGCTGCTCACACAAGCCTGGAGCATCTCCAGTGCTGAAGGTTCCAACCTCTCTCTGGACAGCTTGTTCCAGTGTCTGAACATCCTTCTTGGAAGGAAAAAAAAAAACCCAAAACACTGATACATAATGGAAAATTCTGTCCATTTTGGTAACTTTTTCTGTTGTTTTTAATTCTTCTTGGGCACGTGCAGAGAAAGAAGCTCCTTCCTGCTCCTGCTGGGCTCCCCCAGCCCACCCCCCTGAGGGGCTCCACATGGAACCCAGTGCTCCAGAGGCATCCCGATGGGAATAACCCTTCCCAGAGCAGCCATTATCCATCCCAGGCAATCATCCAGCAGGGCACAGGATTCATATTCCACTCAGTGCCCACCAGGCCCCCAGATCACCTCCTACAAAAGCCTCCTGGTTGGTCCCACACTGTAATGGTCATTGGGGAGGGATTTTATTCCTGGCATCAAAGCCAGGATTAACTCTGGAGAAACAGCATTCCCAACCTAAAATACCAACTGCACCTTGAACCATCTCTCTCAGAGCCCAGCAGCTCAGCCAGGGCTCCACTACAGGGACCAAAACCATTCCAGAAGCCCTAAGTTTGTCCATGTTGAGTCCAGAAAACAGCCCTGAAACCAGAAAATTCCAAGACCTCTATATCCTGTTGCCCCTTTGAAAGCTCATTCCATGGTCTTTCCAGCTTTTTAACGTGGCCCAGGCCAAAACTGCCCAGGAAAAAACCCCAAATGTTCCATTTCAAAGATTCAAACACATTTCATCTCACCCTCCTGCGACAAACAAACCTCAAACCTCCTTCCACCGCACAGACAGTTAGATATGCTAATGTATGCTAATTAGGCAGCTAATCCTCAGAGCTGAAAACCTGTTTCAAGAGGAGGTACAACTTCAAAACATTTCTCCCAGCAGCTTTCAGTGAGATGCATATTCATCCCCTTCAGACAGGGATGATCCAGGGTGGAGAACTGAACCCTCTGCAGCCACAGCTGAGGCAGGAGAGGGACCTGCTGAGGAGAAATCCTTAGGGAAGACAAAGAAAATATTCCAAAATATCCCCAAAATATCGAACACTGCCTGCCAGCCTTCCTGGTTGTACAGAGAAGGAAAGCTGTGTACTGTGATTCTCACAAAGATGGTTATCAAAGCCAACACTTCGTAATTATAAAGAATTTGGGCTGTGGCTTTATTAATAAGTCATATAATTAATAAAATTATGTTACAACGTGACACAGTGTTTGATGTGTCACTGTAGATTCCACCCCACGAGGGAACAGCCAGGAGGGAATCCATCCCTGTGGACAGTTGTTAATGTTTTGTGCTGGAGGAGGAGCCCAGTGTGACACCATTTGTGTCTGTGCGTGCACACCCAGTGCCTAAAACTGGGATAAATCCCTGGA